ACGTGTTTCTGATCATGTGCCCTTCGCAAGTCAGGCGATCTCACCGACGGAGCGTTTAACAATTGGAACACTGGAATGTTTCCCATGTGTTGAACAAAGTTGGATAAAACACAAGCATTTCCTCTCCATCCGTGGGGATATTACAGAATAGTGTTGAATTTACGCCATGATAACTTTTTGTCGTACATGGAGGCAGATGCTAATTTGCGGCAACAGTTTGTGATGCGTAACCTATGTTACGCTGCATGGAAATAGTTGACTCCTTTTTATTCATTATAGAAATGGCCAAACGGAGAGAGATACAGATGGAAAGCAATTCTCATCGGCATACGTTGCGAGTCTACATTGGTCTACAAAGCGTTGATTATCTGAACCATTTTTACCTAGGCGGTGCATGCCAACCTAAATATAGCATTCCTGATTCAATTTGTCAAGGTTGAGCACTTATGTCATGTTGTCGTTGATGATGATGATGACTTATCAACGAATTCTTGTGGAAACACACATCGAGTTTTGTTCGTTCCTAAAGTCAGTGATATATTATTAGGCCTTTGGTTCTCGCAACTAACTAGTGAGAACTTTCCCGAATGAATTGTTCTTTAAATTAGTAAAACACTAATAATACATTTTTTCAAGGGCATGCGTCAAATCCAATTCGAAACAGGATACTTATCAACGAATTCTTGTGGAAACCCACATCGGGTTTTGTTCGTTCTCAAAGTCATTGATATATTATTAGGCTTTTGGTTCTCGCAACTAACTAGTGAGCTGCTGCGTTGACCATTTTCGTCAAGAAGAAGTTGTGTGGACAATGAGAAGCAGAGATACAAATCCGTCTTGGGTTGTATTGTGTAACGGCTTTTAATTGGTAGCAACTGTTTATTTTAAGGTACGCAATCAGTTAAATCTCAATTGTAAATACTCCGGCAGAACCTGCTTTGCCGCGTATTTTACAACCCTTACGACGACGCTAACTTAATGTAGTGCAAAATGACGCGGCATATTTTTATCCAAATACCTTTTTACACGGGAATGAGAGAATTGTGTGGCTAACGCAGGGGTCCATGATAACTGTATACACCTATTTCATTGGCGTGAAAAGCGCAACCGATTCATCCGTTCATGTAAGCAAGAGTGATTTGATCTCTCAGGTAGGGTTTGCGGCCGACACGTGGGGAGAATGCGCAATAAAACGACACTGAGCAAACACTTGGCCTATTTCTGGATGATCCAGCATTTAGGGGATGAAAAGCGTCTCGAACACTTAGAGGCGTGAACAGCGCAACCGATTCATCCGTTCATGTTACCAAGAGTGACTTGATCACTCAGGTAGGGTTTGCGATGGACACGTAGGGAGAATGCGCAAATAAAACGACACTGAGCAAACACTTAGCCTATTTCTGGATAATCCAGCATTTCGGGGATGAAAAACGTCTCGAACACTTAGGAACTTTAATGTTTTCCATATTTATTGGCAATAATTATATTTCCTCTAACGGGCGGCTAAATTAAAACGCTAAATTTCGTCAGCCGTCTGTGTTGCACATGGTTACCTATAACAATAACTTACAGTGCGCAATATTTCGCCTTCGCAATATTCCCAAACCTTTATATTTTGGGATTCGTGTGACACACTTTTTCTTGTTTCCTCAATCGTAATTTTATAGCCGATTCTCATCGAACGTCGAGATATTCAGATATCCTGACAACGTTGACTACAACAAAAAGGCCTTCAGGAAATGGTGAGCTTCAGCAGGCATCATTGAAGAGAGCGCTCCTTATAGATGTACTTGCGTAATCTACGATTTCAACGCAATATCTCGCCGCAAATCTCAAAAGTGTGCGCTACGCTCTGTTGTTGCAGCTCTACGCCTTCAGATGCGTTGGTTAACAAACCTGGGCGTTTTAGTCGTTGTCATCAGGTAAGTGAAAATAAGATTCAAAGTTGTCGTTAGAAACGCCTGAAGTCCACCGCAGGGAAGCAAAGCAAATAAAATTATTTACAAACAAGGGAAAGATGCAAGTAATGGCGGTGTTTCTCGAAAGACGGTAACTATAATCTCGATTTAAAAAATGGACCAGTCTGTCCAGTAAAAGCAATTTAATTTACATTCTGAGGAGCAGACACTGATGTACAAGCAAATTAGCTCCTGGCACAATATGTATGCTTGAATTGACTCACTTGCACCATTCTGTCTTATGAATATAGGTTCAAGGTATACTTTCATGATCAGTTGTCGATTATGCGTCTGCGCCCCATGATTCATGAAATCTTCATATACTTTTATTTGTGTTTCCAGGACAACATGACATGTGCGAGGTCTTGTGAGAAGTCGTATTCAAACCAGGCTCGTTAATTGACAAATGTGTGTTGTCTACTTGAACAGATTGCAGCTGTTTCAGCTTTATTGTACCCGCTTTTAACGAAATCATATTACAAATTCTGGAACAATAATAACGATCCTTTAAGACCTCATTATTTCACGCCTTGTGTTTTGCGGGTAAACCCATCGTTACAAACGTAGCAAAAGTTCATCCAATTGTCGGATGAACTCAATAATCGAGACTGTTTTGTATGATAAGGAAAATAATGTCCTAGTTTACTGCTTCCGTTGGGTAGTTGTAGTGCAATATTAAATATTAAATATTAAATAATTTTGAATAAACTTGTTTTCGCATATGAGTCACCGACTTTTGAATGAAAAAACTCACATGCAAGTGATTATTAAAAATGTTCGCGGTTATTGCCCCACCGCACCAGGTTTGCTGGCGACATTTACTTCGATTGATAAGCTGACAACTGTCAATGCTGACGAAGCACGAAGGCAATGTCAACGTTGTTAAAAATGTGTTTAATTGATAACATTTGCGGTGCCATCCTTATCTGATATTCCATTTGGTTTGACTCGTTTTGTGAGTCAGACTATTCACTTTTCTCGTTGCGAGAAAATAATCAAATGCCTGCAAACAAATGGGCGAAAGCGCCACGAACTGCCATGAAGAAATTGCCAATTAAGTTCCACTACCTGATACTACATGATCAAGATTGTGTTGACAATATATTTCAGTCACACGTGCAAAATAGCTGCTCCTTGAACGACTTTTCAGATTTAATCTACATATTGATCACTTGCAGAAGTTACCCGCAGCGTTGGGTCAATTACGCAGCACAACAATTACCTTATAAAGCAGACAACGAAGATTTTAGTCAATCACCTCAGAGCGTTTTTTGGATTCTTGAGAGAAAAACGTTATCTTATTAGTTATCTGTAAGCAGAATCTCGCATTGCATTCCGAAGCATGAATTTTAGCTGCAAAATGGAGCTCATTTCAATCCTGCTATATTTACATTTCTTCATTCTTCCTCAGAGCGCGTAAACCTGCAGTAACACTGTGCGATTCTTTCAGGTGATTTCAGGCGATCAGTTTATCAAGGTTCTTTCCTAATGAAATGTGCGTTTGATAAACGCAAGTCTCTGGTTTTAATTGACACACAAGGCCTCATTGGGTATGTAAATAAACGAATACGAAGGTTGAAAACTGAAAGTAGATCAAAAAAGCGTGCCATCTACTGAAATGATTGTGCCATGGCAGATCTGTAGTTTTTCCGCAGTAGTAGATTTTCAGGGTTTTGGGGACAAACTGCGCTCTACATCTGTGTAAGCGTGTTAACGCAAGTACCAGAAAATCCCGTGACACCTGTTGCTTACTCGTTTATGCAGTGAACGTGTGTTGAGTGATGTTCAGTATGGATGAAGATTTAGAATGTTGGTATTCCGTGATTGTATATCAAGTCAACTGCTTCTTCATTTTAATCAGTTTCGCAGGGCAGTTTTCACTGACTTGAAAAAGCTTTAAATGGAAAATTTGGATTGCGGTTACAGCTGATGAAATGCTGGGCCATTAGTCTGAATACTCAGACACGGTCCATTCACTCCCATAATTTTACTGTGTTCCTATAAAGTATTATAAACTCAAAGTGAAAATTACTTCCCGTAATGCATATCCCATGCATTCGGATACCGGTCAAATTCGTTAGAAAAGAAGGCTGCAAAACTGAACAGTTTTTACAGCGGGATTTGGCTTCATTACATTATTTTCAGTTGGTTGTTTGAGGTCCGCAACAATGCGCCTTCGTTTTGTACGGAAACCTACATTGTCATCCATTTTTTAACGAGCAGTTAGTTGAGTTCATGTTTTAACACCCTAGATTTCTAAGTTTACATGCATACATGCATGCAGCATACTCACTACACTTTTTAGTAATGAAAATAGACCATTGAATGAAAACCAGATTTGCAGACTGCTTGGTTGTATCTTTGTCAAGAACCCGTACTGAAGGACACACCGCCCACATATATCACACATAATGAAGTTGGTCTCATTATGTATTGTAAAGGGACCATGCCGGAATTTTTTTGTTCGACTAAAACATGTATGCTCTACGGAACTTCTTTACTGGACCGCGGAAAATTTTTCCACGTAACGTTATTTAATTCACAGCCATAGGGAATATGCCAACAAAATATCCGAAGCAGTAATTTCGCGACCAATGTTTAGGATTATAAGTTTTAAAAGCGGGTGTGGATGAATCGCTGCAAATAATAAACTCCCTGCAATAAACGAACAAGAAAAATCTATCAAGGGAGCGGTCCTGGATACCATCATATGATACACGTGAGTTGATCAGGATTGGATGAGTCGTAAACCCGCAGTGAAACCGACTTCTATTCGTTATTCGCACCATTGCTCTCTAACTGACTACGGTAACGGCAGCGAGGAAAGGAACTTCATGGTGTTTATGTGAGTGTGTGCAGTGTCCGGAACAGTTCTGTGCTGACGCCACTCATAATCTGGCAGCTGGTTATCCGGCAAAGTAGCTGCAGTTTCCACAAAAGACAGTCACCAATAGTACATAGAATTATGTAGGCGTATTTCACAGTTATCTTTAAATGCGATTGCTGTAAACGGTGAGAAAAGCTATTGCGCGGTAGAGAGTTTGATGCTGGTTTCGAAACAAGAATCCCTGTAGCAAGCTCAGAGCCATTTTAGATGTTCAATCTTTTAATTAACTTTCTATAGCGCCATTTTTAAATTGGACCCAAACACAGATGACTCCATCAGTGTGTGTTTGACCGAGGTGGATCACTGCAATTGTAACTGGTAAATTGCAATTTCTTGATACATTGATTTTATGAAAGAGAAATATTTGACATTTTGGCTGGCAATGTTAGTTGTGGGATGAGCAACAACGATCTATCTAGGGGGAGACGCAAACCTGCAATCTTAGTAAGCCGCAGGAAGAAAATGGATTTCTGTTTATATAATGTTCTTACGTGGCCCGCCTTCAGGAAATGTTTGAAACCATAGTTTACCCTGCCTTTCTAATGGGTATACACGCGTCTTCGCAACAAATAGAAGCTTCCTGTGTCCCGTATGTATGCTCTGAACTGCGGGTCAATAATACGGAACAAACGACGATGGAAAAGTTAATGCTAACGGTATGTTTAGTTGGAATCTTGTAAGTTATAAAGAGTATCCCAGTGCGGATAGAAAAACGATAGGTCTCATTGGCAGAATGAGGCATGAATTTTCCAAGGAAAAACGCAAACAAGAAACCGGAATGCTCTTAATCAAACAATTTCCCAACGGATGTTTGCCTGAGTACACGCTCCTACAGAAGATCCATTTAGATTCGAAAACTCTTAAGAAACTGTTGACGTTCAACTCAACGTTTCAGTGACAATAAGTTGTCATGACTATGTCACTTTGATACTTCCGAGGTAGTCGGTTGAATGTACATTTTGTTAGTTAGGAAGTTTTGCATGTGCTATACTACTCTCCACAATGCGTATACATAAAACCTTGTGAATCGCACGTGTAACTAGGGTTTGTGAAGATACCTCGAACTTTGTTTTCAGCCCGTCTTTACTGTCAATAATGTGTTCATCCTTTTGCGGAAACCTGAATTCTTCTTGGAAGCCTGGTTGTGCGAAATGCAAAACCGGAATCATTAATTACTAAATCTCGCCTCATGCTTGGCTGGTAGAACTTGCGATTTGCCCATAATTTGCATCTCATTAATCTCTAGGTGACTCCGAAGAGAAACAATGAGATATTGCTTTGAAGAATGACAGAAACGCAATTCACAGTACGCTAAAGTTTTACCAGAATAAGCAGAAGCCAACGCAGCAAATCGCCATCCCGTTGATGGTTTACGCTGCATACATTTGTGTTGAGATTATGGATTGTAGGCATTTTGCAACTCGCGTAATTTTGCTCGTGCAAATCACAATGAAGTATTAAAACCTCTGTCGGTAGTTGTGTATCCCCATATTGGACAGTAAGTTATTACAGGTTTGGCGGCGATCTAGCATAAGATATTGATGATGTTTTCAACCCTACGATCGCATTTTATTCAACTGGATCTTCCTTTAGGATGAGGATCGGCTTCATTCAAAACTCACGCCGTTTCACATATTTTCCTGCTTTAAAATTTATAAGATTATACATTATTGCAACAGCCGAACTAAGATTCGTGAAATAAAGTTTAAATCAAATAGACGAGTTAATCCCTGTTAAAACTGCTTGAGTTTTTTCGCGGTTTATGATATGACGCAATGTTTAGAACGTAGCAGCTTCAGTAGTGAGTTCATCATTGAGCAACATCTATCGATATTCTTTATTACTTTGAAAGATGCAATGAAGAAATAACTGTCCTGATATAATAAATGTCCTCATTGAATACATCTGCGGTCTGGCTTTAGTACACCGCATACCGCAGAAATTCTCATGTTTAGACATTGAACTATTCATAAACTGCATAAATGTTCTATTTAAATTATACATGTGAGCGCACATCTGCGCCGAAATGGGTTGTCAAGTGCAAACCGGCTTTACCTTTCAAAATTTTGTTTGTCCA